GGATGTTTAGATTGCTTCACTCTGCTGTGATCAACTACCACACACAAGATTCGCCCCGAACCCGGCAAGCTGAAACCAGCGCATGTTCATGAGGCACATGCACGCTGCTCCTGCGAAATCACAAACAGAAATGCCACGGGACAGGTCTCATTAACACACTGAAAAGCAGGGTGTTCGTGTCTTGGAAAAAAAAGTGCTGGGAAGATTTCCTGCAGCAAGCTTGTGACATCAGAGACTAGAAGCTGCGGACACTGTTTGAAAAAAAGACTATGTGAGGGAGGAGGGAAAGTGAAAGGAAGAGACAAAGGAGGAGTCCTGTTCTCACGTCCCCAACTCCTCAAGGACCCGGCACCAAGGCGGGGGTTCACGTACATCCCCGGGAGGAGTGCCTGCTGGACGGACCCGCAACTCTTTAAACAGGGCAAGGGCCGGCTCCCGGCGTGTGGTCGGTGAAGCCTCTGCATCAGTCACCGGATCGGTAAGGAAAGCCATTAAATATGGATGGAGATTCACACTCTCTAGAGGTGGGGTATGAGAAGCTGTACTTCAACCAGCACACTTGAGTTAGAAAACCACTCATTTAGGAAAGGAAGAATCCCTTTAGAATCAAAAGCATTCTGGGGAGCCTGGGTGGCTCAGCTGGTTAAGCATCCGACTCTTGGTTTCGGTTCAGGTCATAGTCTCACAGTTCATGAGTTCGAGCTCCACATCAGGCCCAGCGCTTAAAGGGTGGAGCTTGCTTCGGATTCTCTCCCTCTCTCTCTCTGCCCCCCCCCCCGCTCTCTCTCAAGATAAATAAACTTAAAAAAAAAAAAAAAATCAAAAGCATCCCTTCCTCAAGCACCTAGAAATTAGTCAGTTGAGCCGAATCGGTTTGGCCTGTCATGTTCTCATTATCTGTGGGTCTGAGCCCTGCATCGGGCTGTGACTGATGAGCCTGTTGTTTTCTCTCTCCCTTCTCTGCCCTCCTGCCTGCTTGCTCCCAAAATAATGCTAAGTGAAATAAGTCAGTCAGAGAAAGACAGATACCATAGTTTTAGTCATATGTGGATCTTGAGAAACTTAACGGAAAACCATGAGGGAGGGGAAGGGGGTAAAAAGTTACAGAAAGAGAGAGAGAGAGAGAGAAGCAAACCATAAGAGACTCTTAAATACTGAGAACAAACTGAAGATTACTGATGGGGTGAAGGGAGAGTCGGATGGGGCATTGAGGAGGGCATTTGTTGGGATGAGCACTGGGTGTTGTATGGAAACCACTGACCATAAATTATGGCAAAAAAAAAAAAAAAAGGCATTCCTCCTCTTCCCATCTTTCTCCTTCTCCTCCTCCTCCCTCCCCCTCCCCTCTCTTTCTCACCTCTCCCCTCCTCCCCTCCCTCCTCCCTCCCTCCCCCCCCTTCTGCCCTCCTCCTCCTCCTCCTCCCTCCTCCTCCAGCCATGGAGAAATGGTGCCCAGGGTCTGAGGCAATGCAGGCTGGGCACACCGATGCAGGGGTCCCCTGCCAGGCTTTCTGGGTGGGAGGGGGAGAAGCACACAGAGAAGCCAGACAAACTGGCTGGGAGACTATGACTGAGAAAATACACTAACTGAACAAAAAGTTAATAGATCTGAGGAGCCAAATGGTCTGAGAAGGAGTTTACAAACAGAAAGGAACAGGCTAGAAAGAAGCCTGATGGGTTGGATTAGAAAGAGAAGCACCGGTACAAACACATGGGCCTTTAAAACGGACACGGGCCCAGGGCAACAGACCAACAGTTTGAGGGGTGTGGACTGGGAGAAGATGGGGGGGATGGTCCACAGCAGGCTGGAGGGCTACCTGACACCCCATAGCAAGGCACTTAGTGCCCCCATCTTGGTTTCTAAATACCACACCACACAAGTAATTGGCACTCCTCAGTGGGATGGCGGATCCCGGGATGAGGTGGGAAAGTACAAAAGGAGCCTGGGAACATTACACCAGAAAGTAAGGGAGTGCTCAGATAATAACAACATAAAAAAAAAAATAACCATAAATAAAATAAGATAAAATAAAATAAATTAAAACAAAAACATCACAAACATAAAGGAGCTCCTGCTGGCTAAATGTGGACAATTTAAGCATCAAAATACAGTATCAGATTATAACCTGCTGAATATAAAATATCATAAATTCATACTGGAATAATAAATAGACACATAGGGAAGAAAGAAAGTTCTTTCTCACAGTAGATCACCTAATAAATACAGAAGGAATACCGGCCACCAGACAGCCATCACAGTGGGAGGTGACAGGGGCAAGAGTCACCAGCGGATGACAAGGCCATGAAAAGTCTCATGAGAAACACAGATGTGTGTCTCCCACAATATGCTTCTCAAAAACAAGTATTTTTTAATCCTGACTTTTCACTGGAGAAACCTTGCAGACACCAACCTCACCGAGTGGTCAAGGTTAACATCACCAACAGCAGGAGGGGTCAGCATCCTGTGACCCTGCCGTGACACTCGGCTTTTGTCAGCACAGGAGGAAAACTAGAAGGATGGGCAAGAGGTTGAGGCTCATCCTAGAGAACGAAGGGGCCACATTCTCTAACACTGTCACCAAGACTAAAGAAAGTTCCACTGTGACTGATGGAAACCAATGAGCGGTGTTCACTAAACGTAACTTGTGTTGCTGCACAGCGTCCTGGACCAGAGGTAGTGGGAACGTGGGAAATACAACAGGTCTGTGGGTAGGACGGTGTCTTGTAGCACAGCTGATTTACTGTCTGCACAGAGAGGTGGGGGCAGGGGGCTACACAGCAAATGTGGTCAAATGTTAAAAACTAGGAAATCTGGGTTAAAGGAATGTGGGAGCTCTTTATAGGATTCTAACACTTTTCTGTAGCCTGAAACCATTTCAGACTTTAATTAAGAAGGCAAAAATAAAAGTTTATTCTGTTCTATTGAAAGTCTTTTGTGTTGATTTCACTGTGAAGTTACTGTTTCCTTGAGTTTACAGCGTAGTTGCACACAGGCTTTTATGCTAAAAATTGTGGTTTAAGCCCTCAATCTTTTTAACTATTTAAAACTTGCCATCCAACTTTTTAAAACTTTTAGTACCAACATAAAACCTAATAAAACTGCACCAATAGGTAAACATAAGTCCCCATGCCAAAATGCCCAATTTTTATAGATGGAAGTGGTGAGAGAAGTATGTACTTTGCTGGAAGTGCCAAGGCAACAGGCAGGCTGAACGGCCAGCGAGGCGAGAGCAAGACAGCAGTCAGGTCAGGCCGACTCTGAGGGAAGTCGTGTAGGCAAGGGCTGTAGTCCCACTGCAGCCGATCGCCTGGTGAGCGAGCTATTCGCCCTGCCCCCCGCGGCTCTGGAAGCTACCACAGCAGTCAGAAAGCAGCTCCTGAGAAAGTCACGAGTAAGCGGATGAGCGAAGGCCCAGTCACACGGCGGCAACAAAGCCGCCCACTTTCTGTGTTACAGGTGGAAATCAGACAATGCCTAGAGACGGTACACCAGGGAGAAAGAAGTTAATGTTTTCTGGAACTCACAGAATCCTCATGAACCCGTGTGATGAAAAAATTAGATTTGTTCAATTTTCACTTTTACTATTAAAAAGGCTACTGCTAGTATTTATATAGCTGCTAATAAATTAGATAACCATATTAGCTCAAATGCACTGGGTGCAAAATTAAGAAGAATACAGAATTGACTTTTTCAAAACTCAATGGACAAAATAAAATAGTGCTAAAAGAAAGGTGGCGGGGGATCTCGTTGGACAAAAAGGTAGAGAAACAAATGTGTAGATCTCAACCTCCACAACATCCTGAGGTAAGTAACACAGGCATCGCGCGTCTGTTGAATGCACCCAAGGACACTAAGGGCTCAGGAGAACGGCCCAAGGACAGGACAGTAGCACCTGCGGGGTGAAGCAGGGAGTGCCGTGCCGAAAAGTGAATGGCCCCTTTCTTCCCTAGGACTGTGACAAGGTGGTGGAGTTCTGATCCAGGAAGAGGTGTCCACCCTGTGCCCTGCCCCCCCCACCCCCACCCCATCCCGCCGGGGACTCTGCAGCCTGGCTGACTCCAGTGTCCCGGGGATCCTTCATCTCAGCACGTGTGACGCAGATGCTCATGATGAAGAAGACGGGGCAAAGCTTGCTGAACGCAGGCACGCAACCCCGCTTCCCTCCAGGAATTCATCCAGTGTAGGAAAGGCAGACTGGTGTGACAGGCCCGAAGACCACGGCTCGCCCAAGAGGGCGCCACACCTCAAGCTCTCCACATTTACGGCGCCTCCCACGTGAGACAACACAGGGGCAGCAGAGCAGTGGCCGGGACAAGGAGCCGCTGTGCCCCCTACAGCTGCTGACCTGGCACAAGTCACCTGATCTCTGGGCCTCAGCATCCTCGTCAGTAACAGCACGGCCAATAAGGACGCATGACCCAGAGTTGTGAACATTAAGTAAATGATTACATAAAGTCCTCACAAAAAAACCTGGCCTAGATGAAGGGGGCAGAAAATAAAGACGGGGAGATAGTACATAAATAATGGACCTTAAAATAATAAAGAGAATGCTATGCTTAGATTTCGAAAACAGCCAGTAGCTTCAGTGTGTGCTTTTTGATCCAGAACGTGCATCGGTATCAGGTTTCGCTCCTTTCTAGAAAGTTCATACAGGAAAATTAAATTAATAGCACATGGAAACCTCTATTTGCTAAGTACGTGCAGACCAGAGAGCTGGAATCGCGCTTTCTCCGGCACGTGGAAACACAAGCACCTCCGGGAGACCCGCACACGCCGCGGGCCCAAGAAGTGCGCTCGTTGCCGACCACCCTGCTTCACAGGGGCCCCCCCACCCCACCCCCCTAGCACACACAGGTCAAAGGTCCCGGCGAGACTGCAGTTTAACACGAGACCTACGAGCTTTTTCTAGGCTCAACCAAGCTTCGGGGTTTTTCCCCAGCTTTTGGTGCTGGGACATGAAACTGTCACTCTGCAGTTGGAAGTGGAAGAGCCCGCTCACCTCAGAATAAGCAAGAGTGATGTGCTCGTATACCCCCTGATGGTGGTGAATGGCGTCCTCCAGGTCATGCAGCTCCGAGGGAAGGTCCACCTCTCCACAGGCTTTACACCACGAGTCCACGTTGCTCATGTACTTGAGGAGTAAAAAAAAAAAAAAAAAAGATTATTTCTATCAATGGCAATTTATACGGAGATGTAGCTATTTTTTCAACATGGTTTTGAAATCAAGGTAATTGAGAAACAGTCTAAGAATGTGGCATGGTGGAACATCCATCTCAAATGGCACTACCGGGAGCCTCACACGGTTCCCGGACTCTGCCCTGGAGCTCTCCTTCTGGCCAGAGTGGGGCTCGGCCCAGGAACCTGCATTTGGAATGACATCTCCAGAGGACCCCGAGGCCTACAGCTAACAGCAAGCCCAGAGCAACTCTTCCCTGCATCTGCTCTGGGCCTCCTGCTTAATTCCCCAGCCCTCCTCCGAATCAGGGATCGTAACAACCGCCCGGTGCCGTGGGCCGTGTAAGGATAGAGGCCTGGTGCGCCTCAGCCTCAGCTTCAAGATGGCGGCACACGCCTCCTCCAGGAGCTGTAGTCCAGCCTTCGCGCTCCCCTCCAACACTAAGATGCTATCGGAAGCCCAAGTATCTGGAATTATTTACCTAGACAGAGGAAGAGCAGCAGGCCCATTTTTCTACCTTTTCCAAAGCAAATACACACAGAAATGAAAAGACCAAATGAAGGCCACCCAAGCTCCCCAGCTGTGCCCACTGAGCCTGAGGGAAGGCTGAGGAAAGAGGCAGACTCACTCAGGTCTTTTCCACTTTGCACGTAAACAAGAAGGAAAGAGTCTTGGCTGCAGTCCTGAGGACTACCATTCCAGCCTCTCCTCAATTTTCTCCACGGCCACTCCCACCGCCCCAGGAATCATCAACAGCAGAGAAATCACTGCCAGACGTCCTAGGGAGAGCCTATCAGCATCCATCACAGTTCAGTGTCAAAGGCAGGCAGCAGAAGGCCCTTAATTAAAGACGCTAATTCAATTAAGCCAAATAGTCATGGACACATTTCCCTGGGTTTCACCTCTTTTATTCTAATTCCTTGGCATCTTTCTACTTCCCAGGGAATGCAGAGGGTGACTATTTAAAATTGGGTGACGAAAACATAAAAAAAAAATTAAAAAAAAAAAGTGGCTGCGCCTGCATGGCTCAGTCGCTTGGGCGTCCAGCTGCAGCTCAGGTCACAATCTCACTGCTCACGGGTTCGAGCCCCGCACTGGGCTCTGCACTGAAAGCCTGGAGCCTGGAGCCTGCTTCTGATTCTGTCTCTCTCTCTGCACCTCCCCTGCTCCCTCTCTCTGCTTCTCTCTCTCAAATATAAAATAAAACATTAAAAAAAATTAAAAAATAAAATTGGGTGACTGACCTGCCAGACAGGAAACTTGCTAGGATTCTCTTAAAATATGGGAACGACCACCCACTTATTCATGACATTTTTAGAAACAAAATAGACACGTCACCTGGTAAGTAGTAATTTGTTTATAGAAGTCCATTTATTATTAATGGCTCAGAAAAATATCTATATGCAAATCTTAGGGCCTGACAAGTCATGGGGCATTACGTATCATATGATGGCATCTGATGGTTTCAACGGACACAGGGACGGAGGAGTATCCTTCTTTACGGTGCCTTCCTAACACCAACAGGGCAACGGAAGTAGTAATAAAATTACTTGACACACCTCCCCCTCGGCAGGTGAGTGTGACATGGATCTGCAGGACTACACATGTTCTATAAATATCAAATCCAATATCAAATATCAGCTTGAATAATTCTAAGTATTCTTGATTTCCATTTCACTTTTCCCATTATTGCATTTAACACCAATCACTGTAAACCTTTTTCAAATATAAATGGACTCTGGTTAACCATCACCATGATTAATTCATCAGGTCAAGTCAGCAATTAATTGCTCCTGCACAAAACAGAGTCACCGTATACTCCTTACAAGAGGCTAAAATGCTTCTGATAGAACAAGGTGGAAACGAGTTTTAGTTACACCATAGCGCACAAGTGGAAGTGTCAATCTAAAGATGCTTACCTAAAAAATATAGCCAGATTCTAAATACACAGAAAAGGATGGCTTGCCATGTGGAAATCTTGTGGAGAAAGAATTCTGCACATCTAATTTCACTGGGTTAAGATATCTCAATGATGGAAACAAACCTGGCCATGGTTTCACGGGACTTTTGTGCAAGCATAATTTGTCTTTTATGAGATGGAAACCCTAGACTCCGAAGGGTAAGCTCGAAGCCCTCAACGCTTTCTGAAGGGCTAAACACCCCAAAAGTCTGAACCCACTGCCACCAAGGGAGCAACCCCTGATCAGAGGGCCAAAAGAAGGCTGCGAATTGGTATTCCATAAGGAAAAGGCATCCTGGAGTTGACTTTGGTGGCAACGTTCAACAGTAGCTACATAGCACAGAATCTGTGAGGGTCTTTTCATAGGATAACGTGGGCTATGAATGGGCAAGGGGGGCAGGCCCACTGCGTTCACTCCCCAACCTTCTCTGACCACTCTACTACATTCCAGACTCCCCCGTCCCAACACGAGTCACCATCTTAGAAATACAATTTGGGATTACAACACCAGGGGATAGGTCTAGAACAGAGCCTGACACTCTGGAAAGGACAATACTGAAGGTGGCTACCATACTCTAGTGAGATCAGAGCAGACGGTTTGGTCTGATGCTTTAAACGCACACTGGACCCAAATTCGTGAACACACGGCATCCAGCTAGGTTGAGGGTAGACAGGAGAATCCAAGAGAATTAAATGCTTCTCTGTGAATTCAAATCAGGAGCTGGCTACAGAACTGAGAATTCTGATGCTCAGCGGAATGGCGACTTTGTAAAAGTGTGGCTGAAAACAAGAGGCAAGCAGCTGAAGGCAGGGTAACGGATACATACAGCTTTAACAGGAGAGCTTGAATAATGAGATGTATTTGCATAAACATTATTCCACTACCCTCCACATGCTGAGAGAGTGGGGGGCTTCCAACGTGGGAGCCACTCAGCCCTCTGGCCTGCCCCACATCCTGCCACCCACAGCCAGTGCACGTCCATCCCTCCCACCCACAGCAGGGCTCACGAGGGGGTGCAGCCGAGCACAGGGGCTTGGCCTGATTTAGGAGACAAAGGCACAAAAACTTCCTAGAATTGTCAACTTTTTAAATATTTGGGGGGGGGGGGTTCTCTTCTTCAACAAAAATGACACTGGTTTAACATATACACACACATATGTGCGTGTAGATATATGTGTGTGTATATACATATATACGCATAACATACATAAGAACTCAAACTTGGGTTTTTACTTCTCATCTCTTCATTTTTGTTTTCATTTCTAGAAAATATTACCCCACTTTTCCTTTCTTTTTTTTTTTTTTGTTTTCAACGTTTATTTATTTTGGGACAGAGAGAGACAGAGCATGAACGGGGGAGGGGCAGAGAGAGAGGGAGACACAGAATCGGAAACAGGCTCCAGGCTCTGAGCCATCAGCCCAGAGCCCGACGCGGGGCTCGAACTCCCGGACCGCGAGATCGTGACCTGGCTGAAGTCGGACGCTTAACCGACTGCACCACCCAGGCGCCCCCCACTTTTCCTTTCTACTTCATCATTTCTACTCCCTGAGGATTAATCAGCACACACTCTTTCCTGGTTCCTCCAAGGCAGACAGGCCCTCTTCTCTGCCCAGGGAAATCACCTGAGGGAGCAGCCCACTCCATTTGCAAAGCTCTGCCATCTACACCACAGTAACTCAGAGGAGACAGGCTCAGCTTGAACCAGAATATGCCGATGATCACTCTGCACACCTTGAATCTGTTTTCATTAATAACTTTTTCTTTCATGTTTATATTTCTTTTCCACAAGAATCGTTTCTGTTTTGTCCACAAGCCAAGAATTAGGTCTATGCTTGTAATAAAGTAAAATACCATTAAAATGGGATTAGTTGTGTATTATTTGCCTTAAAAATTCAAAAAGAATAGTAGATAAGTGCTATTTTCCTCTGAGTTCCAACCCAGACTTATGACAAAATTATCCAGGTAACTGCGGTAAGACTTGTTTACCAGAAATGTTATTTCTAAAACTATGTATGGAGAGTGAAATTGTACAAGGATATTAATCTAAGTGCCTTGTTTGTGGAACAGTGTGTGATTATTGTCAGGAGCTGAAGGACCGTCACAGACCTCAACTGAAGTCCCAACATAAGCGACTCACTCCCCAAACACAATCAAAGGACAATAAATACCACCAGCCCCATCGACTTCATTGGACTGATTTAAGGATGAAATGACATCTTGTGTTAAAGAGCCGTGTAAATTCTAAAGAACTATGCAAATGCTGGTTGTTACTTTATTTTTGGCTATTATCAAATTATAGAGGCCCTCAAAGTCATAGAGAAAATGAGGTCATCAGATTTATGGTTCACTGTGAAGGTGAACCTTGACCAGCACTAACAGAACTTTCTGCAGTGATGGATATGAGTATCTGTGCTGTCCAGTACAGTAGCCACTAGCTGCACGTTGCTATGGAGCGTGTGAAATGTGGACACTGTACGAAATTTTCATTTATTCTTACATTATCTTCTTACTAAGCCTTAAGTAATTTCAGTAGCCACATATGGTGGCTGGCTACCATACTGGACAGTGCAGCTCTCTTGTCTGTTTTAAAGGAGGGCAGATTGCCACACGCAGCACGTCATTTGGATGTGCCTTGGGACATGTGGAGCCTTGGGAGTCTGACTACCCTCCTTTCCACAAATGGACCTTGAGGGTTTGTGTGGGGGTCCCAGCAGGAGAGCACAGCTACAGGTATGCCCCTGACCAAACAACAGCCTCCTCTATCAGGAACAGTCACCCTCTTTGACAACGCAGCGTGCATCTCCGGGAGAAATGCACGTGGGACAGGGAGGAAGCGCACACCCGCCGAGCCAGCCAGGCCAACCCTGGGGATCAGTGGGGTGACAGATGTCGCAGCCGGATCACCCTCACACCCGAGATCATCTGTTTAATTTTTAATGTATTTTTTAATTTATTTGAGATAGAGCGTGAGTGAGCAGGGTAAAGGGCAGAGAGACAGGGAGAGAGAGAATGCCAGCAGCCTCCAGGCCTAGCACGGAGCCTGACACAGGGCTCGATCTAATGAATCGCAAGAACATGACCTCAGCCGAAGTCGAGAGTAGGACGCTTAACTGACTGAGCCACCCAGGCACCCCCTAGAGCATTTTTTTTAAATAGCGTCTTAGGGCACTAAGGTGTAGCAAAATCAAGTCACTTTCTTTGTTCTACAAAACTGTTAAGTCTAATAACATTTGTTATGAAAGCTTCTCAGTGTGAAGGGACAATTCAGTGGATATGCCACATGACCAAAAGAAGTGAAGGCTGGAGCCCCTAAACACCATCTACCAGTAAGACTGCTGGTCTTGTGGTCCTGTCTCCGTGTCTGCAAACTGAGATTCTAATTGCGACATGAGACTATGAGATGAATGGCTGAGACATCTTCAGGAGGCGTGCCATCTATGCAATGTTCTCCTCACCCAGTTTGCACCTCAAGACTTACATCTATAAAACCACAGGCAGACACCAACACGAGAACACCCACCGGGACCACAGAGGAGTGTGGCTGGGCAGTTCCGGGCACACGTCTCCCTCGCTGGAGCGTAATCCTTACGGGGAAGGCTGCTTCCTTTGGTAAAGCCATTAACCATGGGGGTCACATATTTGAGCTCTGTGCCTCCCTAACTCCCTAATCAGATTTAGTTTCCTACTGGTAAGTCTGGATGGGGGTCAAAGAGGTAGCTACGTTGGAAACCTAATTCATGATGTCCAAGTTTCTGGTCCTCTCCCAACTGAGCTTATGAAAACAGCTTAAGCATAACTGGAAGGCAAAGCATTAAAAAAAAAAAAAAAAGAAGAAGAACAAAGTTGAACCCATTTCTCTTCCGCAAAGAGAAAAACTACTTGGTAGATGTGGGCTTCCCTCACACATCAGAATTTCAAAGATCTTACTTTTGTCCAGTAAAGGGGGAAGATCCACAACACCTCTTTACCTGAGAGTAAAGAAAGTCTCTGCAGAGGTCCTACTGCCCCACCTCCACATTTCAGTTGCCTGGCCAGGCCTCAGCCAAGGTCCATCAGAGATGCTGGGCCCTTTCTTCACCAGGCCGCTCTGACCCTAACTTGTACTTGGCTTCTTCTCTGGTTACTGGATACACACAGAGACCTCAAGCACTGTCATGTTTACACAGGATTCCACAATATTGTGTTCAATAATGTATTCATCTAGTCCAGTTTCCTTCAAATCCATAATTTACAGTCACTCATTTTATCCAAACAGAACACCCCAGGCTCGCGTTCACGAAAGGGACCTTCCCTGTGTGTTACTATGCTTCAGACCCTCTGCCATTCACCACATAGGTTGTCCTGTTTCACATCTATTCATATCAGCTTAATGGAACTTTCTGAGAGCCCACTGCCACTTTAATTCTTGCAGTAGAACACGTGACGATTCCAGGTGACATATGTGCGGGAGACCACGTGGCTCATCTTCCCACCTACAAAAACGTCCAGTGAATAATACACCACACCCTGGACAAAGACAGGAACCAGAGGTGAGCACAGTGCTGTTTTCTGCAGAAGGGGGGTGGGGTCCTGTGTTGTTTTTTTTTTTAAACCTGTTTTTGTGTGTGGGCTTTTGTTTCCCCTTTATCATAAAGCCAGTTAAATGCATAGGTTAGGGAGCTGAAAAATCGGACTACTGGAACCCGAAGCCCCTATTCACAGCTTTCACGTGAGGCCACAAAGACTTTTTTTCTCTTTATATACCATTCAGTTTCTTCTTCTGCTTCATATTTGAAAGGTTTCTAGAGTCAAGATCACTACTAATTAGGGTCTTGTGCAACATTCTAGCTACCTTGCCAAAACCCTGGGCAAGCTGGGACTCTATCTCACGTTTACTGACTTCACTCCTCAACAGAGACAGTTTCTTGATTATACCATTTCCTTCTTAACAGCGTCAGTACAGATCCCTATGAATGCAGTCTCCGCCCACCACAAAAAATGACCCCAATCAATATTTTTCCTTTAACATCAGGCAACCACTTGCTTCTTTCCCATACGCCTTCCTAGTGGCTAAAAGTCCTGTGTTCTTTCTCCACATCTTGAAAAAGGTATTTCACTGCCCAGCATGCTTTCCACTAATTAAAGTCTGAGTCATGAGCGAAGCACTTCCTTGTGTATTTCAGGGTAGTTTGCTTAAGCAAGCGCTGGAGGACTGCAGAGCTGTGGGGGTTCTATGAGCAGACGCACATATGACCTCTCACAGTCTTCTGACCAGCACTTCAGCTAAAGAAGCCAGTGTCGAGTTCAAATCCATACAGTTTAATAAATGTGAAAGACACTGTAAACTGCCTTCCCAAAGGTCGTCTGTCAGCCCGAGCCCTTGCTGGCAGAGCGTGGCCGCTACTGTGGAGGCTAAAAAGCCACGTCTGCCTTCTTGCACCCTCCCACGCAGCCAGAGCACGGGCCTACACCCCACTCCTGCTCAAGGGGAAAGGAGGTGAGGTGTGCTGGGGTAGGGGACCTTCTGAAATTAATGTTTTCCTGATAAAAGCGACAGGCACCGCCATCCCGGACTATGGTGGACACCAGGGTGCAGGTGCAGGAACTGCGGCACAAACCCAGGAGGAGCAGACCCGACCCCAACATGGCTGGCTACAACTCTCTACACTTTGCAACTTCTTGATTTGTGAGAAAAGCAAACTGCTGATATTTAAACCTGATAATCAGGCATTCAGTTACTTGCTGACAAATTACCCTAATCAGAATACTAAAAGTGACAGCAAGGAGGAGG